GAGAAGACAATGTTAAAGTCAGTTATATGACAAAGTTTTACAGATTACAACTTTGTCGTTGGCGTGCGCTGAATTAAAACTTCAGCAAGTCGGTAGTTGATAGTACCTGTTTTTGTAGCTGAAAGATGGAGTTGGCGTTAATATGTTTAAGTATGTCTTTTAAGTCTGCCAGGCTTTTTCTCTACGATTTCTCTATTAATAATAACAATAACAGTAATAATAATAATAATGCTATTTTGGAAATAACTTTAGCTTTTTTAAATGCATAAAGATTATCACGCCAGGGGTACTTCAAATTATTTGCAAAATACAGTTGGGTTTTGGGTTTTTAAAATTTAGCAAGGACCAATTCGCTTTTCATCTGCCACTTCTCAGTGCAGATTATAAGTATATCTTAATGGCCCTTACTGCTTTGTAGTTTTCTGCTCCTCTTTTTTCAAACTCTTTCAGTTTCATACCATAGGATGCTCCTAGTGTTAGCTTTAGTAATGGGCGAGCTTAGACTATGCAATACTAAGGATTCTTTCTGGTAACAAAGTTTAATTTTTGCGGAATCTCCCCTGAAAGAGTCTGAGAATGGTGTCACTTTCTGCCTACTAACTATTTACAAAAAATTTTGCTCGAAATGTACGAAACCAATCTGACATTTTTTTTCCAATTAAGATTTTCTTTACAAACTTTAAAATGTTTGGTATCATGATTAATGCATTTCTAAGGAACGTGATTTTACGAGGGATGTTCTTACGGTTTGGGATTTAAAGCTGTAAAAGCATAGAATTTTCTTAATAGCTCTCTTAATGTTTTATATTCTACACCACTACTGTATTTATTACTTTTGATTTTTTCTGGCATAATTTTTTTTGTATTGCCGAATTTTTTAGAACCTTTTTAGTGGTCATATTTGTCACTAAATACATTAGTTCCTTTCAGTTATTATGAATTTAGTTTCGATCAATGCTTATCATATAAAATATTGGCGTTTGCATTATCAGCATGCGATAACGTTCAGTGTATGACTAAGGTATAATAGCTAGTAGTGGTGCATGAAATGAGTTTCCAAGGTGATACATCTGATTATTGCTATTATAGGTTTCAAAAGTTTTATTAGTAAGCAACTTTTGGTGGGATCAGTGGGATACAACGACTAGTAGGCAGTTGGGAACTGCGTAAATAAGCCAAAGTAATTTTCCGAGTGATGGCTGGCAAAGTTCACAACTGATTAGGAAAAACCTTGCAAAAAACTTTTTTT